CACAACATTAACTATAATAATAAAGAAATCGCAGTAAGAAACCTTAGACTTGGCACGACTATCTAGATTTCATTACTATTTAGAGATAAACAAGCAGCTCCATCGAGACTTGGCTACTTTTTTACAGAATGTTTTTGGTGGGATTTACGGTAGTCACGCAAAAAAACTTCATTTTTTTTTTAATCGATATAGTCGAGAGACTCCATAAAACAGATACATACTTTCAATATATAAAGCAACATCATCTCCATATAGAGTCTGTGCGGAAAGAGAATGGGATTTAGATTGGAGGGCGATGTAGTGCTTTTCTACCGTATTTGTAAGGTTTTACCCCTTTCAGACATGATTAAATACAAAAAACCGCAAGAAATCACAACAACAAATAAATCCGTATCAATAAAAAACTTAGACGTTTTACAGATTTGATTGCCAAATAAAAATCTTAATGTTAGTTCCATTTTTCGCCACGCCCATTCTGTTTCCGCACAGAATATACCTACTAATTTTATTATTTATTTTTTGTATAAATATCTATCTTAACTTTTCTTTCGATGAAAGAAGAAAAAAAATACGCTGCATTTTGTGACAAAAGGCAGCTTTCAGTATATGTTAGCAGAGTTCATTATACATACTTGTTTTTAAGGGTTTGTGTATCGCCATTAAAAAAACTTTCGAGGACGCGTCATACGTCATTAAAGTCATGCCCGATTTTTGTTTTTTTTTCGGCTTGAGGTCCCCTTAGTATCACGACCAATTCGGAATTTAACTTAATACATCAGCGATTTAGTTACTTTCATTTCAAATTAGAAGCAGGAATTATAATGCGAATAATAGGGTTTTTTCCATTTTTTTTAAAACTGCTTATAATTAAAGATTGGGACAAACGATTTAACAGAATAATAAAAATAAATTAATTAATTACTTTTTTTCTCCATTACACCAATTAAAGTTCAATTTATTTTTAATGGTTTTGAATTTACCGCCAAAACGCTGGGTACGATAATGTCAACTGTGTGACGTCAACTTTGTGAAACGAATTTTAACACTTATGTAGTCTGTGGACGATCTGTGATTACGGAATAATTATTTGACGATTTCTTTTCTTCTCAAAAATGTTGTGTAAGTATTATACTATAAATTTATCCCAAACGGAAAAAAGTTAATAATTTGACCTTCAGGTGGTTACATAACATACACAAAGTTGACGTCACATAGTAGACGTCATCGAACCGAGCGTTTTGGCAGTAAATTCAAAACCTTTAAAAATAAATTCAACTTTAATTGGTGTAATGAAGAAAAAATGTAAAAAGTAAAAAAAACATATTTTTTTTCTGTTTAATTGTTTGTCCCAATCTTTAAATATAAGCAGTTTTCAAAAATTTTGAAAATACCCTATTGGCTTTCGTATATATAGATGTAAAAGAAACTTCTTTTAGCTATTGACTCTTATAAAATAAAAGTCCAACCTCCTGTTCACAAAGCTAATAATAATACGGACCTTTTAGTCTCACTTGCTTTTTTTTATTGTGATCTGCCTGATTAATTTATAAAGTAAACAGTATTAATTCAAGACACGACGATAAACAAAATTACAAACAAAACTTTTATTGAAGAGTACCTACATATTAATTAATAGTCAAATCAAAATCATGCATCGAATAGGTACAATACTTAAATTGTTACATAGGTACGACGTCGTCGTCCAAATTTTATACGGTTGTGAGAGACGCGCTGGACAGAAACCGGTGGAGGCAGATCATCCATTCCAGATGCAACTAGCATGCTGACCACGATCCTCAGTCATGAGGGACCGACCAGAGAGAGAGAGATGTATCATTAAAGTTATTTATTTTTATCCGTTACCCTAGTGCCTATCACATGCCATAGGATAGGCTAATTGTTGTAAGAAATATTAAGCCAAACCTAAACAGGAAAAATATATTATTACTCCTTGAATTTGAGAATTCTATCTCATGTCTCCTATTTCTTATTCTCCTTCGACATTCTATGAGTTATTAATGTAAATTAATCTATGTCTTAAGTAATAGTTTCATGTTATCTTTTAACATAATTCCTGGGAGTAGTACGCAAGTGTTCAAACGGCCAAGTAATTACGTTTCATGTTAGAAAAATCCCGAAACGTGCCTCGTCTCTACTGCAATAAACCTAACATCTCAGAAGCCATTTCGCAAAGAGGTCACATATCAAAAATAATACAACTAGACAAAGTAGAGTAGTGCGCATTTGGAACAGTGAATGTTATACAAATACTCGTAACGTGGTCTGCCAACGGAACGGTGATAAATACTCACTTGTGACGAACACGATAAATGTTGATTTTGTCACACACTAAGATGAATTTTGATATTGGAGAATAAACAATTTACAAATATTTTCATGTACCTAGGTACTGTGTTTATATTTTAATTGGATGACCTTTGCTTTGCAAAAAAGAAACAATATGTAAATTACTAAACCACAAAAAAAGATAAAAAGAAGGTACCTTTCTTAACTTGTTTTCATACCCAATATCAAGAAAATCCAATTTAATAAAATTTAAAAAGCATTTCTACTTCATTTGTATTAAGTAAGTATTTAAAATGAATGCCAATATAAACTGGTTCCAGTTAATAACTTATTTCAAAACAATACCTGTTACAAGAAAAGTGGGTTCGTGATACTTTTCTTAGTAACATTTACTTGTTCTACGGTAATAGCAGCACATCACTGGAGTCCGGGGACCGGTCCAATTGCAGCCGCGATGTGTAAGTTATTAAGCATGAATCTTTTGAAATATGGAGATCACAGTGCCACATTCTCGTGGAGATATTTACTTTTATTTACTATGTCCAAATGTGGCAGATTTTGAAACAAGACACATTACCAACTAAAAATACCCTATGTCCTTTATTCATATGCCCACTTTTTTGTAAATTATGAAATATATAAATTATATCCAGCCTTCATTATTTTTTTCTTATATCTTCATTTGTCCTAAATTTAACGCACTTTATATTTAACTTCGTATTGCAATAACTTCAAGCATTTTTTTACGCATCATCAGTTCATCACGCACATGTATAAAATCTATACATATAATAAAATGGTAGGAAAGTCAAAACTTTACATTGAATATTTTTTTAAAAGAATACTTGGGGTGTGGTCTACAATCGATACCGAAGCTAAAAATATAGTTTTTATAATTTTGTCTGTTTGTCTGTATGTGCGGGATAAACTCAAAAAGTACTGCATGGATTTACTTCAAATTTGGCACGAATATTATTAAGAAGTTGGGTCAACATATAGGCTACATATTATCACCTACGGGGAACGAGCAGTGAACCTTTATTTCTAACTAATTCCACGCGTACGAAGTCGCGCTAGTATTTTAATAAAAGAGAAACTTTCAAAATATCAAAGTAGGTACTATAAGCGTTCTTATCTAGCATACATATTTAATTAAACAAAATCTTTTTAGAACGACTAATTAATAAAGTGATTACAAATAAAATGAAAATCTAATTTGCTATAATAAGATTTAGTTTCAATCCCTTTACAATACGCATCTCGAATTTCTTTAGTGGAGCATAAAGACCGTTTTATATCCAATCCTCCCATTGAATGCATAATTGAAATAGTTCATTCAAGTTCCCAATTTCATTTCACGACGACCCGAGGGTGCTGTTCTGTTAGTCTGTTACTACTTAGTGTCCCAACGTCTTTGTTTGTGAACAGCAAAACTACTGCCAATTAAAATTGCTTCAATTTAACTTTCACAATACGGACGGGGAACCAACATAGTGCGAAGATCCCGACGCGATTACGGGACCATTTCTGTTGTTCCCTTATGTTTGGCGCGCAACTCGCAAAGTCAGGCAAGTCGCAAAGGGCAGGTCAATTAGCGAGTGACCGGGCGCCAGACATCGTACTGCGTTGGGCGGATACCGGTGTTTAGCAATACAAGACCACGTGCTATCTGCTTGTCGGAATGTAAAGAAGTGGTACATTCTAACAAAAAATAATATTTTAAATTATGTTAATTATACATAAAATTAAAAATCGATTGTGGTGATTACAATAACTAATCTAATTCGGTTTGTAATTATAGTAATAGTAATTTAAGTCCCTATTTAAGATCTCATCAGCTATTCGTGAGTAGATACATAGTATTTTAAAGCAAGTTATACTCTGGGGGTCTCCTTTCCGCCTGGAGCTACCAGATCACTAGACCCTGTAGGTCTGGACCTAACTGTGGTGGTTGGGAGGTCTGGACTTATGGTAGTTAGACGGTTTAACTACCAGGGGGCTCGGGTAGCCCGCGGCATTATTGAATAACGTTTCGAGGCATCCTTCACGTATTTCGTGACTGAATCTAATTTAAGGTCACGGTGCAAGTCGTGCATTTCGCGGTGCCAGGTTGCACCTTAATACGGGGTAAGCGGTGTCACCAAATAAGCAACTTGCATCGACTTTTCATCATCATCATCAGCCTATTAATGTCCCCACTGCTGGGGCATAGACCTTCACTATGGATGGAATAGGGAAATTGGGCCATGACCCACCACGCGGGCCCAGTGCGGATTGGTGGGTGCTAACGACTGCAGATGCAGCCGGGACCAACGGCTTAACGTGCCTTCCGAAGCACGGAGGAGCTCGAGATAGTAATTTTTGGTCACCCATCCAATGACCGACCACTGCGAAAGTTGCTTAAGTTCAACGATCGCAGCCGAACGCGCTAACCACTTGCGCCATCGAGCTCCTCAGACTAGGGATAGACTTTTACTAACTACATACACAAGTTCCATTCGAATTTTACATCCTCACTCCCAATTCGCCACAAACATGTCCAGCTTCATGTATTTAACATCATATAATTCTATATATTTGAATTGTTAACAAGCGACCATTCCTCGCCGTTCCCACTGCACCACCCTTCGAACGACAATCATCTACGCTGAGTACATATAAGCCCCCGGCTGCGCTCGTGGTGCGCAAACGCACTCAAACCATAGCGGCGTCTGCGCGTTCTCGCGAGTGTAGTGTGAACCCAGTGATAGTGAGATGAAGTTAACGGTCAGTGCTATGAAAGTATACTAGTTACCTACGTGTTACGTAATTAGGATGATCTAACAACTTGTTTACTATTCGTTACACTTAATGATGTTTATTACTATTTGCCGGTTGTTTTTGCCCGACATTCGATTATGATTTGAAAGTATTATTTCGGATATCGCGATAGTGTAAAAGTAATATGATAAATATTTTTAATGATAGATTATTAGCTGCAAAATTGATAAAATCCGTTCTGAAGGATTTTACAATTATATTCATTAGCAAGTTATGAGAAAATCTTAACAATTTCGTGCATTCTATAACTAGGTATAAGTCCTAGGATATTTCGTCTATTTCAATCAATATTCTTATACGAGGAATCTGATTTATTAAAAGAAATTATTTTGATAATAATCCAAATATTTTTCAAATACCATGGTAGAAAATAGAAATTGCTAGGTAGTGTATAAAGTATGATACATTCTGAAATTTATTTTTTCTTAATTTAATGTGACTATTTCGACCTATAAAATATATCACTTTGAACCAGTTTCACAATTTGTAAAGGAATTTATTAGATGAGATCTCTGAAAGTAATAGTAATAAATACATCACACAAATTGGTTTAATTTCAAGCCTAATTTCGCATTACATTTGCGAGAACGGCGCCGCTTAAGAAAAATTTAATCTTCTATCCGTAAAAGCATGTGATGATATACAATACATTTTTTTATTGCTCATACTGATCGAAAAAATTGCTGTTATATTAATTTAGAGCAAAAAACGGCAAAAAATCACGTTTGTAGGCGGGCTCCCATACAGCCCCTTTAAATATTTATTCTATTCTTTTATTAGTATTTATTATTATAGCCGCAACAGAAATACGTCACCATCTGAGAAAATTTCAACTGTCTAGCTGTCACGGTTCATGAGATACAGCCTGGCGACAGTACCTAGGGACAGTAGAATCTTAGTAATAGGGTCTCGTTTAAACAAGATAATTTTTAAAACCAAAATAACAGACAATAGGAATTTCTGAAATAAGCCGGTCACCAAATATACTATTCTTGAATGATGAGTGCATGTCATTAAAATGGGGTCATCTTTTCTATTCACCTTTCTACTGTGAATGTTTTAGAAACTCCATAAGTGTTATGAATATGAGTTTGGCTCTATAAAAGTTATTTTGTTATAACATCATTGCATAAACCGAGGAAATTGCACTCATACTGTAAGTTTAATGAACTATTAATTCGTGCGGAATGGTTGTTATGACTTGATGAACTATTCATTCATTCATACGGTTTGGTAGGCGTGAATGGTATTAATTTATGATTCGTAGTATAAAATTATATAATGTACACTGTGAATTGTGCAGTTAAGTGCTCGGTTAATAAGCGAGATAGGGCATGGCGGATATTCCGCTCGAATTGGAGCGCCCGTCTGGGAAAGTAATCTCTACCATATAGAAGATCACAGTAAAATAACACTACCTTTTGGTGGTGTTGTGTTTTTGTTGGTGAGTAAGGTTGCAGAGCTGCATGAGGCTTGGATCAGGGCAGGCAATGGTGCGAGTAATATTTTTGGTAGTAGCTAAATAGGTAGGTTTGGGACGCAGCAGTGCGCCAACAAGCTCCTCGAGCTTATAACTGAAGAATATAAATTATCAATAATGTATTTTTAAAACCAGGTGGTAGTATTGCTGCTTGCTGCGGCGAGTCAAGCAATCGAATTGAAGTCAACACCTAGAAGACAACAAAAGTCGGACAACACTGACAAAAGAGAATTAGATGAAGGAAACACTGGAATTGAAAAGAGAGCGCCAATTTTACCAACAGGTAAGTTTCATGAAAAAAAAATAACATGACTGCCCTCAGTCAAAGCCAAAGTCAAAAAAATTTACTGTCTGTGGAACACTTTTCATTCTAAGGTCTGACTGTTGGTGTAAGAGGACCCTTTCTTATATACTTTTGTTAAAATGAGCAGTAAAATAAGGATTTGTTAACCTTAGTTAAATAATGTTTAATTTTGGTAGTTATCATAAATCTGTCTAGAACTGAAAAATAGAACCTTTAAAACTTGTGCGCTATCAAACTTTGAAGTGACCCATTGTTTACATAAAATCTACAGCAATTTCAGCAACTTAAATAAACCCCAGCAAGATTTAACCATTAAAAGTTGGTAAAGTCCGTGCAACGTGACTAATAATCTTTTCAATGAATAATTTGTGATTAACAGTTAAGTAAATACAATTTGTTAAGAAATCAACTAAGATTAAATAATCTTAGGAAATCAAGCAAAAGCAGGTATCTAGGATCAAGTACACAATACTGAATTGATTTCCCATAACTTACTAAAACCGTACTTATAAAAAAATACAAATTGTAAAGTTTTATTGGTGACCGCTCGTACTCAAAGAAAGAAATTAGCTTTAAAGTTAGTTATGTTGGTGCAAATACCAAAGTTCTTAATTCAAATTAAGGCTTCATCGTGTTTAACACATCATTCCATCTTTGTTAATTATTTAAAGTTCAATAGGTAGAGATACAATGAGGCTTAAACATGATTAACTTTAAAATTTGAATGTCTGATCTCTCTGAAAATATGAATTGATGAAATTAAGCCTGAATATAGTTAACAGAATTGGATATTTTTTGTTGCAAATAAAAATACTTCGGATCCCCAAACACTTTCAATGAGAATGGTTTGAGTGTATTTAGCTGTTTTAGTGATAAGCTAAGAAGATAAGATAGGAACAATGATAACACAACCTGGTGAAGAAAAAGCTCGCCAATTTTTATTTAGCTTCCCCCTGTTTTACGCAAATGAGAGACCACCGGGATTTCACGGCCGTAAAGTTTGAAGCCTCAAATTAACTGTAGAACAAAGATCTGTATGCGACACAATCCTGCCTTGGGTCGGTTTAATTTATAACGTCCAAAAGCTGTCCGAATAAAGGTTAACGATTACTTTAAACTTGAAAATAAACTGTCACAAACAAAATATAAAAAACAAACTTTTATTATGAAGTCACCATTACATTTATTTCTTTTGATAAATTCAATATGTTCCAGAAATACATTTTGACCTATAATAATGTAAATGCGAAAGTGAATTCGCTTTATGTATGACATATTTAATTTAGCTACGTTTTCATGCCTAAACTGCTGAACTGAGTGTCGTCTTAGTTTTGGTATGAAGTTCCTCTTTGGACGGTACGGACTTGGCGAGGGGGCTACGGGAAAAGAATTGTGTGATTTTTCCGTCACAACTGTACGTTGTTTCGTAGCGTATTGCGTGTAGTTACTATACTTTTGTTTATTTGTACTCCACGAAACTCACGTATGCTTTTTTTTCTTGAAAATTGCTAACACAGGTAAATCTTTGAGAACTAGATAGTTGTACACAATCAAAATAGTCATTCAATACCTTGAAAACATTTCTTTTTTTGGTGATTAAATTTTCCTTACCAATATTTTCGAAGTATTAATAGTATTTTTATTAGTATTCATACTATTTTTTTTTCAGCGTCCCCATCAGTCACACCAGGCATCGAATATGCGGACTCTAAAGAAACGCAACAGAATAAATCACCTGCACAAGTAAGTACCTCTCGATATAAAATAATAAATTTCTCACTTCACTATCGACTTTAACATTTTTAATATGATTGAATGTATTAGCATTTTAGCATTGTTCTAATATAAAAGAAAGCATCTACATATTTAAAAACCGGCCATGTGCGAGTCGGACTCGCGCACGAAGGGTTCCGTAGCATTATATGAACAACATTAAACACTATACATATTATCTACCGTCGTGTATATGCGTCTACCTACACTGCTGCCGTTATTAATATAGAATAGAGCAAAAACCGGCAAGAAAATCACGTTTATTGTTCTGTGTTTAGTATTTGTTTTTAGCTATAAAACAACAGCAACAGAAATACAACATCTGTGAAAATTTTAACTGTGATACAGCCTGATGACAGACAGACAGATGGCCGGTGAAGGCTTGGTAAAAGGGGCCGTTTTTCCATTTGGGTACGAAACTATAAAAACATCAATGAACTTCAACAGTTCCAAGTAAATCTATAATTTAAGACGCATGAAACTCTCTGAGGAAGTTTAAAATAAAATCAGATAGGTACCTATTCACCGTAATGTTAAAGTAAGCTTGGATAATTATCAGGAGAAATGTTTCGAGCTTCCTTTAATAAAAAGTAGAAAATCCCCGAATCTTAAGTTAATGACCAATTAAATCATTGATCTGTAAAATTTTTAACGAATAAGAAGGGAGGAAGTTTTGGTATTATTTCGTGCCCAATGAATTTATTTTACAAGCTTGTCAATTTATTTTTTGAATAATGAACAATATTTTATTTACCAGAGAATAATATTTTTAAGGAAAATTAATCACTCAAAAGGACAAGCAGGTTTTGAAGAACCTTATCCTACTAATATTATAAATGTGAAAGTTTGTAAGTATGTTTGAAGTCAGTTACTCATTCACGCCAAAACTACTAAACGGATATGGATGAAAAGTAGTTTATGAACTGGATTCAAACATATGATACTTTTTATCCCGAAAAATATTTTGGTTCTTGTAGCATTCTCAAAAAACTAGAGTTAACACAGACGAAGTCGGGGGCGGGCGCTAGTAATTAATAAAAAAGTTAACTGAATTTGTCCAAAGGATTTAATCACTAACTCAATTGGGCAAATTCAGTTAGCTTTTATACATAAAATGAAGTGAGTATTTTTAGCTAAGTTAGTTTATCATAAATTCAACTAATAAGTAGTGTTTGTTTAATTATACAGAAAAACATCTTAGTTTGTGGATTTTTTTGTTTTCTTCTGTTATAATTCACATGACTCGAGGGTGGAATTGGATTATACAGTCTCGGTTTTACCACAGCACTTAAGTGTTATTTAACTTTAAGTGCAACAGTACTACCAAATAATACTGTCGAATTGTTAAATGTGTTAAAGCCGTTCAATACATGCGATTCTTACACAAAAAGAAATGAAAGAAATAACAACGAACCAAAAAATACTGAGAAAAAATAGAGGGCAATCAAAAGCTGGTAAAAATATTGGTGAATTCAATACGTCAGCGATATTATATTTTTGACTTCACTTAGCGTTCTATAGGGGACGAGAAACGACATCACGTGGAACAATGCATCAACAGGAGTGACGCGGACGGCCCACCTCAAGCCGAGAGACTTATGAGGGAACTTCGAAGGAAAAGAAATTTAATATAAAAGTTGTTGGGGTGCCCCGCCGCTCAGCCAATAAATTTTTGTTGCGAGATTTTTTACGGTTACCAGCTTTATGGGCATCCCTTTAATTTACGTTAAGTTCCGTTTTAGTTTTTTTTAACTCGCCTTTATATTAGTTACAATATATTGGCGTCTTGGCGTCCTTCTTGATCGGATATTTGATGTGAAAGTACGGATCGAATAGTAAGGATCAATGAAAAATTAGTACGAAGCGTAAAAAAATATTTTGCTTTCGATACTTTTCTTTGGTTATATTTGCCATGGGATGACTTAGGTACGCAATCGGGTTGAATTAAGAAAATGAATTAAAAAAGTGCAATAGGTTGAGTTATGAATACTAGTTTGGGTTGAGTAAGGAAATGGGATGAGACGTCATAGGATTACTACGGAACAACCCGTAGCTGAATAACAATCATACTCTTATTGGTTTCATTTTCATGCAAAAGAACTGTCAAAGTTCGTAAACACTGAAAAACAAAAAACGACTTGGATATATTTACGCGCGTCGGACTCGCACACGAACACTCATATAAAATAAACACTAGATCAAGCAAAAACGTCTAAGGAACTTTACTTTTATTAACGTTTATTCGTGATTGAGTAACAAACATAGAAATTTTTAATATTTATAAAATTAATAGGATTTGTCCTTAAAGTGGCAAGGGAAATACAAATTCTGTAAAAATTTCGTCTTTCATCATAGTGTTCATTCTAATAGATACATCTTTCTAACAGCGGTTGCTTAGTAATAATGTTCTGTTGATTTGAGTCTGACAAAGGCTAACCTTTATAGGCTAAGGAACACTAAAAGGCACAATATCCGTACGTGAACTTATTTAACAACTCGCTGTACCTTAGTATGGAAAGGAGTATGCTAAATATTAGGATGTTAGACAGGCTGAGAAACCGTGCCCTCAGAAACAAAACAAAAACTATTGATGTAACACTGAAAGTCAGAATACTCAAATGGAAATGGGCAGGGCACATGATAAGAGGTCACAAATGGAGTAAAAAAACTGACAAGATGGTATCCCAGGGAAGGCAAAAGGAAGAAAGGTAGACCTCAGAAAAGGTGGGATGATGGAGTTATGTGGAATAGAGTGGCTCAAGAAAGATCAGAATGGAATAGGTTGGAGGAGGCCTATGCCGATTGGCAAACAGATCTGCAGATAACAAGCAAGCAGCTAAGTTGTACGTCTAAGTTGATCTGAATAAAGGCTTTATTATTATTTGTATTATTATGCACCTTAGTGGCCAAGAATGCCCGAGCGGCAGCATAAATGTGAACATTCCGGTGTACGCATGCAAAAACCACATTGCATTCATAGCTCCAATGTCTTAGCAAAAACGTTAACGTGATGTGAATTGGGACAACCAACACTGACAATTGTTAAAACAGAGTAACTAGTATTTAACGTTGCGTAAATGTCCAATCAATAATAATTACAGAGGCACACAATGTATGGCTCAAAGGTCATGCGTACGCAGGAAATATCAAAGTTTACATTATTTAACAACGATATCCTTTTTCACTCACATTTTTAAATAGCATCTAGTTTAACCTCATGTTGAATGTGTAGAAATAAAAGTGTCATATAATTTTAATCTATTATCATAACTTAGTTGACTGTAAGTATAATTATTATTATGTATTACATATTAATTTTTCGCGGCACTCCTATTGCTGTTTCCATTACCTTGGTTTTATCTGATGTAACAGTGTCAGAAAACCTATGATATAATATTCAGATTGTCTGTATATTTTTTTAAACAATTTATCTTAATCATATCAGACAAAATAAGTGGTAATAGTGATGTCAGTGGAGTCGTCGACACGGAAACTATAAGTTTATATGGCTATGAGTCGTCCCATAAGCCAATATGTCACATTAAACAACTTTATTAACTAATCCAGAGTTTTTAAATAACAACGAAAAATAAAGTGAGTACAATATTTTCCATTTAAAATGATTGTGATTTTTTTTTCATATGTAAATTGTTTCTACCAAGTAATAACTACTATGACTCTTTAAATGAAAATTAATTCGTTTTTAATTTATTCTCAATGCGAATAACCAACCAACCCAACCTTTACCATATGTTCACATCCTTCTGTGAGATTAAAAAGACAAATTAATAACGAAACAGTAATTTAAACATCGCACTGCTAAAAAGTTGAAACTGTTATAAACCTTATTTAGGGAAATTTTGTATGTTTTTTTTTTCTTTTTCTTGTGTTCAACGCATGTCTAAATTTTTGTGTTAATAGGGATATTATTAGGCATATTTAATATGTATTTAAATTAACCTTTCATGTAGAGCAACCGTGAACAATACTGATAATTCGAAAGGTGCTACACATTAATAATATAGGTACAATCCATTCGTTCAATTAAAACGTAAAACCTTATATTGATCTAACCTTTCCGGAAGCGGATGTGTACTTCCGAATTTCAAGATGGCGATTAATTACAAATTACTTTTATCTGCACTCCTGTAAAACACAGTAATTGTGATGATTTCTAACCAATATTTCTTGCTCATATATAAAGAGAAAAAATAAAAGAGATTCCTACATATAATTACATAATGAACAAATAAGACAAAGGAATCATAATTAATAAAACCGCAGTTGTGTTAAAGTAATATAATACATAATTGAGAAAACCATTTAAATGTAACTAGCGATATAATGTTTATTTCAATTTAATGAATTGTTATTTAAAAACATAAGCTTTATGTGCTCCTTTCCCAACATAAACTTTTATGATGCAAATCTCACAATCCTCCATAAAAAATGTGCTGACAAAGCTAAAAATGGTTTTCCTTCGCGTTTTTATATAATAATTACAAAACTATGCAGTAAGTGCGGATGGAAGACTGTATTGTTTATTGTAATTTATACTTATTTTTGTTATTTCGATTTCTGTTAGTGCGTTTTAAGCAGTGAATATTTCTACAAAAACAAAATAGTTTGAAGTAAATTTGATACAAAGACTTATTAACCACATCCAAAACGGTTTTACAAAACCTAGAAAAAAGTCACAAATCAGTTGCATAACACAACAAATTGCCATTTGCTATATTTCACCTCAGGACAGAGGCCATTCCTTTGTGCTGATTGTGATTGCGAACCCGACTAAGTATTACGGTACCAGTATGATGGATTGTAAGATTACTGTTCACTCTTTCTTATTCTGTCAAATAAAAGATTATGTCCCTCACAATCCCGAGTGATTACAATACGGCGATGGCTCAATACAAAATATTAGTTAACAAAGCCTTTCTACGATCATTCCATTTACTAAAGAGGGTTTG